CTCCTATCGAACATCTACACAGTGAGACGCTTATGCTCCCAGTTAAGGAGCATAATGAACTCCTCTCCAGGCAGTTCCTGCTGGGATGTTTTCGCAGAAATCATCCTTGCAGTCATCATCCAGAATACCCAACGTATGTCCTGCATGCAACGAGTCTCCGCATGACACTGACCACCTCTTTGCATGCCCAACCAACCCCACCCATCTAACACCCTTTTCCCTTTGGTCCGACCCCCTCGAAACAGCACGTTTCCTGGGCCTCTCGTTAGATGACATCGACAACTCTGATGACCCTCACCATCCCAACGGGGACTGATAACCGTTAAAACAACAACAACCATAATCTCGCGTGAGGATTTGAAGGGACCAGCTTTACACTTTCTAAGAATTATTTTATCCTCACGGGAGGTTGTTTTCGAGGGGGAGTGTTACAAACCTTGTTTTGTTTTAACAAATTTGGATCACTCTTAACATTTTCGATGGCATTGTACACCATTTTTCTTCAACATTTTACTATTTGAGCAATTTTTACTTGATGTGTACCGTTTTTGCAAAGGTCCCAAATAATTTTCTTTTTTCAATCGAACAGTATTTCCCTCTATCCATTTTATTAAAACTTGTAATATTACTAAAACTATTGAATACAAGTTCACAACTGAGATTTTTTGTTGAACCAAACACTATAAGTGCGCTAAATCATTGTCCAACGAATTTATGAGGAAATTTAACAAAAACAAATTAACGGTATCTGAGGGGATATGATAACGGTTATTTTCCACGCATTTAAAGAGGCAACAGAAGCAGTATTGATCTACTAATAACAAGTTGATGAAAATATCGCTCTCTTAAAAGTAACGGTAATATTTCTAAATATGAATGCTAGTGTGCTAAATCTTTGCCCATAGCTGTATGTCCATGTATGTATGTCATCTCACTTGGATTGATATATTATTTGTTAGTATTTATATTATTTTTTTTAAGCCGTTGTTATTAAGATTATAAAAAAAAAATTAATTTACAATTGATATTGCTATTGTATACGTTTCAAGAAAAATCGCACATGCATTCGCAATGTAATCAAATAAATTGACAATTGGACGACGAAAAATAATGAATGCTATAAAGTTAGATTAAAAAAACTATATCCCTCTTGCGAGTTAAGATAACTTTGAGTCGAGTTAAAGGGCGAAATAGTGCAAATTTCCACTACAATTCATTTGCCACTGTCTAAATTATTCAAATAATTTCTTATGATCTCACAACAGTTCTAACTCGAGGGTATTTAGCGAAAATCTCATACATATGACGGACGTCATGTTGACCCGGTAACAAAACTTTATTAGTAGTTACACTCTCCAAATCTGAGTTTTCCTCTCATCGGTAACAAATTATCAGCCAAATCCATGGTATACCTCAGCATAAAAAGTCTCGTCTCTGCGCATTTGTGTGTTAGCTGGATCATTTAACACTTACCGATCCAAACAGGTTAAGATCGCCGAAACAGCATAGAACTGGCTGTCGTGATAATTGTAATTGCTGAATGTTTTATTTGAGGGCGGTTATACATGCATATTCTTGAAAGTTTCAAGGACCCCCTATGGGAGCGCCTAAAAGCTTTTTACAATCCGAAGGAGTTGAGTTTAAACTGTGGTTTTTGAAGAGCATACATATTGCTCTTTTTCTGAAACCTAACTTCAGAAACTATCTTCGAAGTACTCCCAGAAATAAATAATGGTTTCCACATCTGTCTACCTTCAACGTCCCATTCATCGTTTGAGCATAGACGACATTTGCCTCAGATTTTTTGAAACCCATTTAAACGTCTTTGCTGTGCTTGTGGTAGAACTTCGGGTATGACAGATTCCTTTTCTTCTAAACGGAAGGCGCAATCATATTATTCTTATGTGTCCTCTTCATCATCGGACATAACCTCAATCTCGCTATTCACGATCAGATCTAAAATCTGCTGCTCTGAAAATTTACTTGCTATTGTACTAATACATTACAAGTGTGCAGCGGCCGAGACGCTTAAAAAAATTTCAGGATAAAATGTATTCAAATAAGCTTATTGGCAAAATGTATACACCAATTTGTTAATTATATCTGCAAACTAAACTAACTAAACATACCTTCGAATTTTTACTTTACAAAACCGCCTTTACACTCGGCTAACCACACTTATTTTTCCTTAATGTATATTGTCCGAATTTAAGGCAGAATAGAGAGAAAAACATCTTGATTTTTGGTACAAATAATATATGCATCGTCTATGGAAAACATACTTAAGAAATGTGCAGTAGGCTGATCATGAGCACCGAGGTGTTTACACAAATAAAAAAATTTCAAATCTATTATTAAAAACTGTATAAAGATTATTCATAACGTATTTTAAAGTGTCTGCATTTTTTCAATATGACGTAAAAAATTATTATTATTTCTTGTTATAGATGTGGAAAATAAAAAATATTCTTACCTTTTCTCCACTTTGGTTGCAGCCATTTTGACTTTGACTGTGAGACAATTGGCGTTTTGACGGAGTGCAACCTACAACGTTGTTGTTGTGGGTGTTATTATTGTTGCTGCCGGCAGCAAGATGTTTTGCTGAGCTGCCATTGCGTTTATGGTTGGAGGCTGTTCTGCAGTTGCCCGAGCCTCCCACTTTTATTGTTGGTTCGGTTGGCGATTCAACACCATCGGAAACAGCTGTTACGTGAACTGAATTTTTAAAATTGTTATTCGAATTACAATCCAAATCCCCCATAGATTTATGGCGTTGTCTTTTTGAACGATTACAATTGTTTTTATTGGTACTTGTTGGAATGGCAAGTATTGCATTATTATTGCCATTATTACAAGAAGTTCCTGTACTAATATTTGAAGCTTTAGGCTTATCATCGATGTTAATTGTATGTTGTTTATTTTTCTTACTACTATTATTCACATTTGTTTGCTTTTGGTTTATATTATTTTGATTGCTTCCACCTAGAGTAGTGGGGGTGGCTGACGTTACTGTTGACCATAGTGATGCTGGTGAATTCATTGTTTCGGGCGAGATACTTCTGCCACCACCGGAAAATTTACGTCTAGTCTCTATTCCCGAGCGCTTATCATGTACCCACTTTTTAAGCCGTTTAACAAATGGCATTATCATAAAAAATGAATTGGCGTTTATACCCAATTTGGCTTTTGATATGGCATCATTTTTATTGACCGGCAGCGAGTCGATCGGAAACCAATCACAGCATTTTATCTCATTGCGAGTTCGCGGTGAGAATTGTGTATCAAGTGATACGTTGCGCACTATATACAAGCGTGTATATTGATAATTGAAAACAGCCTCAATGTAGTCATTTGGTACTATTAATTTCGTTATATCGTAGCCAGTCTCTTCATATACCTAAATTTAAGAAAAATTTAAGTAAGTTTAACATCATAATATCTAGTTTTATTGTTTATATTTTAAGGATATCAAACTTACTTCTCTTGTGGCACAATGCACCGGATCTTCGTTCTCATTGACTTTACCTTTCGGAAAGCCCCATGAACTTTTTGCAAAATATGATTGCACTAAAAGGCAATAGTTGAGATCCTCAGATATTAAGATAGCCCCATATGTGGGTACTGCGAGTTTATAATTTTTCCAATCATCTAATATTTTATCGATCGACGGTAAATGTTCACGTAGAAATGGAATATGCTATTAAGAAAACAAATTAGCTAATAATATATGTAAACCTTTCAAATAAATACCTTGAATATCTGTATCGCGAACTGCTTCATACCACATGTTGGTAATTTTCTGTTTCTCAATTCTTCGCTGTGTGGGTTATCTCCAGATGCAGCGCAAAAGAAATCCAAGTAAAACCAATGCGCTAACTCAATTTGAAAGCAAATGCGAATAAGATTGCTCAATTCCATATCAGGAACATTAATAATAAAACGACTTGCCAAATCATCAAGTATATCGGACGGAATTTGTAAACCATTCTTGGTGACTATACTAACCACAGAGTTGTTGCTTCTTCCAGGAGTTCCAGTTGAGACTGCTTTCAATATTGAGCTATGGGAATTCGTTGTTGTTTTTTCTACAATTAAAGATGTTGGTAGCGGCGTTGATGGTGGTGATTTCGTAAGGTTCGATGCATTGGAACTGTTCTGTCGATTTTCCTTTATTTTGGTATTTACATTTGTTATTTTTAAAGCAGCCAATAAGTCAGTCGTAGTTGTTAAGGGAATTGTAGCCTGCTGACTTTCCAAAGGCAGGTTACTGTTATTGCACTGGAGTAATTGAAGTTGACTTTCTTGGTTTGCTATCAAATGCCGAACATCAATTTCCTTGTCATTTTTGGTATTCATATTCAGTGCGGTTTTAAGCGTTATCGCCTCTAATGTATATAAATGGGAGATTTAATTAAAGAAAAAATATATAAATTTATGATTATGACTGACTCCTTGGAAAAATATTAACTATAAAATAATTACCTCGATCATTACTCAATTTCTTAGGAGCTTCAAAAAAATTTAAAATGCTTTGACTAACGCCGATGACGCCGTTATTTGCTGTATTAATGTTGTTTTTGTTCTTATTACTTTCGAACAATGTCGCATATCGGCCATCTAACAATTGAAAAGAAGGCGTCGAGGACGCCACGACCGAATTAAAAGCTACTTCCATCACTTGTCCAATATTCTTTGTTTCTCTTTCTGCTTTAGAGCTTAACTCCTTACAGACGTTTCAGAAATGCTTCTTGAATTCGCGTTAATTGTTGCTAAAAAATTTTTGAGGCAACAAAACAAAAACCGTAATTTTCCGATTAGCTTCTCGTCAAAATATCAGCGAGTTTAATTTGTCCCGACGAATACAATTTTGGTAAGAAACGAGTTGAAATGTAACTACGTTTTTCTTTTGAAGTTCAAGAATTAAACAATATTATTTAAACTCCTTAAGCACTACAATTTTTTTCAATTTATTATATACACTTAGAACGATGTAGCCCAAAAATTATCAAACTTTAACATCCACAACCGAATAACTAGGCTGCTTCTTTTGATGGGATATTTCACTAATTTAAATGTTATTTTCTTTCTGAGCCAATTTTGTGGAGAGTTATCCATAACACAGGGTTGATACGAGTCTCCAAAATGTTTCTTCTCTCCGAGTACGGCAACTCCTTGACACCCTCACATTCCACACTCTCCACAATGTACGCACTGTCTTAGTGTTGGTGTATTTATTATACACTTTCTAAATGGCGATCTAGGGAACAATACTTCTTCTTCGTACCCTCACAAGCTTATTATTATTTTATTTTAGCACAGTTTTATAATTAAGCTTATTAATATTTTACGTCCTAATCAATTATTAAACTTTTCCGTTGCAGTAAATTCACTTTTTCAATTGCAGTAAATTCACTTCCCCGTTGTTTAACTGCGTGTCGTAGACTGAAAAAAATAAGCTTCCCAAACTATGATGCCGTTGTAACTAAATTTTTTAATAACCGCCAACGTTGCCATCCTAAAATACCTACATTACATTTATTAAGATTTTGTTTGAATTAATAGCGGGATTCTGTAACCAGTCTCTATTTGAGACATTTTGTGGTAAAATCTCAATTTGTGACTAGTTACGATTCACTAAACAGTGTCTACCTTTAGTCTCAAAATATTGCCTCAAATTTGAGACCTTGTAGTTAGCAAGTCACAAAACCAAAAAGAACTCTTGTTTGCCATTTTGAATATCCTGATCACCATAGATATTATTCGATTGTCGTTTCTTTAATTTTGTAAGCAACTCAAACACGAAAAGGTTAAAAAGAAATAAATTTCGTTAATATTATGAAACAAATCAACATATTTCACTATGTTATAGAAAATTTAATATTTGTTATCGACATATTTATTTTCATTCAAGTATAAAAACATCTCTGAATAATGAAATTTAATAGATTTTGTGACTGTCACTTACAGAATAGCAAAATCGTCTCAAGTCTCAAAAATTGTCTCTAACTTAAAATCTCAAATTTAGAGAATTGATATTGTATCACAGTACAGAATCGCACGGGTAATCTAATCTTTTAAATTTTCGGTCTGAACATGGTATTATATATATAGATTATCTTAACTTTCAACTTTTTACTTCTATCTCAACAGCATTCTAACTAGAACTGCGTATTGTGAACAATCCGGCAACCTTGATGTAGTAGATCGTAAACCAAACTTGGACATTTTGGCAATTTTCCTGTTTAGTTAATACTGGCAATTTATCACCGATTCGATTTTGTTTATGCATTCATGTTCGTCACAATATTAATAATAAACGTCGTTTAATAACTTGGTCAAAGTGTGCTATTTCAATGTCCATGACTGTATGTTCACTGCACAATGAGTCAGAGAACGTAAAGTATAGAGAAGGTGCAAATCGAAATCTGTATGAATTCCCTACTATAAATGTAACAAATGTTCGCAGTCGAACCTGAACCTTCTCAACACTTTACGTTCTCTGCATTAGCATCCATTTTTTGATATGCTCCTCGGCAATGATTGACGAATGGAAGACAGCTTATATATGAATAACTTACAATGGTTCCGCCCCCACTGTGTGCACCCCAACATACTTTTAGTATGAAATACGAAATACTATCAGCTGTGATACATCAAGTAAATTTTTATTTCTGTTGACAGTTATAGCTAAAATTTACTATTATTTTAAATATTCATAATCTTGTTGCAAATGTTTTAAGGAATTGGTGAGGAGGCGGAGGGTTGAAAATAGGTTTGCCTTCTTTATCCAGATAATCTTCATATTTTATAACATTCACAAGGTCCATGTGTAGACGCTCGCAGAGTTTTGCTGAATAATAACTGGTGCAGTCCAAAGTCAACAGTGGATAAAGCAATTGTCGACCAAGCTTTTTTATCTCTTCTATCAGACTTGCGCCGATCGCACGTCCGCGTAGTTTTGCGTCTACAGCTAATATATGAATATGCAATGCTTTCAAAACGTTGTATCGTACATAGACATTGGAGTCTCTTTCAGCGCATGCTAAGATTTTTAAAGCAGTACCCCATTTAGTGTGTCCGAATCGTTCGGCATCTTCGAATAAATGATCGGCTTCGTTACTACTCTTTGGTCCGGAAATTAAAACTCCAACAATCCGTTCTTCATTCAACGCCATTAAACAAGTTCCGTGAGATATCTGTGACATGTTAAATTTTTCATCCTCCGGATCTTGTTCCTTTGGATCACTTCCGATTGTCAAAGGCTCTTCCAGATAGTAATGTGATCGTAGGAATTCTAGTACTTTGTCACGATGACATACTTGTATTGCACAAATTTCTATACCATCCCGAATTGATAATGAACTTTTGTGTATATTCGCTGGTGCTTTCTCTTGTGTTTTATTCCATGCCATGTTCACAGTTGTCTTTTGTCTCTAAATGCAATAGTGAGAAAACATGGTATGAAAACATACCCTCCGCACTATTTGTTCACTATCAAATCGCGGCAATGATAACAAATATAACTATTTTAAGGGTATTCACGATATGAGAATATTAAGAAAAACATACAAAATTAACTATTTTGGCGTTAAATTAATATAAAAATGCAATAAAGACTTCATGTCTATATGCAAAACAAAGGTTTATTTTTAAGTTATGTATTTTTCTTGGTACAAACATAGCACCTTCATAAAATTCTTACTAACATATAATTGTGTATAATCCTTTCATAAATAGAATGAAGTCTAAACGCGATAATATTAATGAGGTTTTCAAATGTTTTTGCTCCCATTTTACAGAAACAACTTGCAGAGTGTTGCCACACCATTAATTTTTTTGTTTGATTTATTTCATATATAGATAGTTACATTTTTATTTTTATACAAAATTTAGTATTAAATTAGATAAGTTCTATCAATATTAAATGATTTTTCTCTAATGCTTTCTTTTCATCTTCATATATTTTTTTTATTTAGTGGATTCCTGAAACTTCGATACGAGAACACTGGCAATGTTTTTACGGCAACTGCAATTTGCAATAGTATACGGTTGGTTTTAATCATTCGGGCGAAATTATGATTTTAAGTTTTTATAGATTATGCTATAAATTAATCTCTCCATCGTTAATTATAAAGTATAAAAATGTGAAAATATGAAAATATTTTATAATTAATTATCAAGTTCTATGGAATGATAATGCATTAAAAGGTAGTACCAGCAGGTCTATTTGTTGTGAATGAAGTATATTAAATCGAACTGATGACCAAAAAACCAACAAGAAGTTCCTATTCAACTTGTCGCGTTTAATAAAATTTTCTGAAACAATTCTGCTGAAAATGTATTGATACGACGAACATATGGTACACTCTTGTTATTTTTCCGTCATACATATACAATGTTTGGACTGCGCAAATAAAAGGTACTGAAATATACATAACTACGTGTCTCCATTAATTTTATGGTAAATCGGTTAGATGGTTTTAAGAAAAAAGTGCTTTATTTACTTTGCTTTATGTTGATTGCGTGGCGGACCATATACTAATATTTAAAATTGACTTGACAGTACTTATCTTGTCTGTCCTGAAAAGGCCATAAACATTCCATTAAAAACAATATTATTTGAGTATTTTAGAATTTAGTCATCAAACATTAACGCCAAGCTGGGAGCATTTAACCTGAGGAGATTTATACAATATCAACTTCACTACAGATAAATTAAGAGCACTTGCGCAAAGTGATTGCGATTGCACAGCATTTGCGAGATGGAAGACGATTTCGTCGAAATGGCCGTAATGGGCCGGTTATAAATCCCGGATCCCCGGATTGCGTACTCCACATAGTATTTCCAAATATCACATTGAAATAGCACAATTGAGGCAATAACCTAACAAACAAAATATCTTGTGATTTTAAACAAAATTATCCTATATATATATATATGTATATATATGAAATTCGCAACAGCACTGGTCGTTGATCAGGACAGGAGTGGCTCAACAGCATTCAGGGTCTGGATATTCTGAAAACATATAGAAATTTTAAATCAATCAGTGTATAACAAAAATTATGTAATTTATTATTAATTCATTATACATAATATTTTACTATCAATATAAACAAAATATATAAATATATTGATATAACTACCAAAATAAATTATGATAAAAAATGTTTAGTGAATTTATGTAAATACTGCTAATTTCTTGTGCCTCATTACAGAAGTCCAAATGAAGCTTACCCATAAATACATCTATACAACTGCGATCGATTGGAAGCGCAAAGCAAGGTGGCTTATGGAAACAACAACAGCTGTATCTAACGTTAACTAAAGTGAGACAAAAAACGTCTAGCATAAAACAATTTTATTTAAAAGACATTTAGTAATTCTAGCAACGAATTCTGATTAAAAATAAGGAAAAGACGGAAAGGATGCAACATGGGCAGTAGATATCATGAGAGTTTTTGTACTCAGAAAATTGCAAATTAAACTATTTTGTATTTGTATATATTAAAATTTAAGTTAGCGCTATGTACTATTGAATGGACTATATACATATAGAACAAACGCACTATGCGAATTGATTTAATTCTTCAACCTTACATTAAACAAAGTCAACGCCAGTGAAGAAAGTCTGTGAATTGTCAAAACGAAAACACTTTTTATTGTGTAATGATTAACGGTGACAAACACACAGATCTTGTTCCACTAGTTCTACCAACGCGTAGCCGTAGAATTACAACGAAAATGTTCAAATTGCGTGAACGAAACTGTATACTAGCGGTCGCCGTGCTAGTGCTAACTCCTTGTCTTATCATCTTATTTATCATGGGTCCAGAACTATCCACCGAACAGTCATTGTCACAACAATTGGCCGAATGTCGTTTCCGTCTACAGTACCTAGAATCGATGTATCGATCGCGGCAGGAAGATGTGGCTATACTTTCACAGTATTTACATCTTAGTAATGCTACAAAAATGACTTTGGCATCTGTAGCGCCATTTCCGCCAGTAAGTGATATGAACACGAGCACATCGGCAATGCCTGCGTCGGGTTTGCCAACTCTACTGAGATCGTTAAGCCCGGAAGCAAGGCAATTAATTAAAAACGCAACACATTCATACACAACGCAGCGCTTCAGTTCATCTGCTGTAATACGACTGCCGACGTCCTACAACTTTCTTCCGCATTTACTCGATGATGCGGCATCGCTGCGTCCGGCTTATATACGTTCGAAGGGTCGAACAGATGTTAGCATTGTGCTAGGCATACCGACGGTAAGGCGTGAAAAGCAGTCATATTTGGTGAGCACATTGCAGAACCTCATTGAAAACATGAATGAAGAGGAGCAAAATGAGACGTTGATTATTGTGTTCATTGGCGAATCAGAGGAGGAAATTGTGCATGCAATCGCCAAACAAGTTGAGTTGAACTTCGAAGCGTATGTTGATTGTGG